AAATTGGATAACCTAGATGAAATGGGCAAATTCCTAGGAACAAAAAGCCTACCAAGACTAAGAAAGAAACAGAAAATCGAATAGACCTATAACTAACTAGTAAGGAGACTAATTCGGTAATCAAGTCTCCTGACAAAGAAAAGCCCTGGACCTGATGGCTTCACTGGGGAATTCTACCAAACATTTAAAGAACTAATACCAATCCTTCTCAAACTTTTACAAAAAACTGTAGAGGAGGGAATGCTTCCTATTTCATTCTATGAGGCCAGCATTACCCTTACACCAAAACCAAAGACTCTACAAGAAAACTACAGACCAATATCCCTTACAAATATTGACGAAAAATCCTCAAGTACTGGCAAATAGAATTCAGCAGCATATTAAAAGGATTATACACCATAACCAAGTGGAATTTATTCCTGGAAAACAAGGATGTCTCAACATATGAAAACTGATCAATGTAATACACCACATTAACAGAATAAAGGGGAAAAAACACATGATCATCTCAACTGATGCAGAAAACGTATTTGACAAAATTCAACACTTTTTTACAATAAAAAACACTCAACAAACTAGGAGTAAAAAGAAACTAGCTAAACATAAAAAAGATATACTTGAAAAATCTACAGCAAATATATGCAATGGTGAAAGACCGTAAGATCAAGAACAAAAACAAGGATGGCCACTTTCACTACTTCTACTCAACTTAGTATGGAAGCTCTAGCCAGAGCAATTAGGCAAGAAAAAGTAATATAAGGCAGCCAAATTGGAAAAAAAGTAAAATGATCTCTCTTTGCAGATTATATTATCTTCTATGCAGAAAGCCCTAAAGACTACACACACATACACACACACAAAATTGTTATAGCTAATAAATTATAGCTAATAAATTCAGCAAAGTAGCAGACAACAGTCAACACACAAAACTCAGTTGCATCGCTATATACTAACAATGAATAATCTGAAAACTACTAAAACAATTTTTTTTTGAAGATTTTATTTATTTATTTGAGAGAGAGACACAGAGAGAGAAGAGGAGGGGAGGGGCAGAAGGAGAAGCTGACTCCCCACTGAGCAGGAAGCCCGATCTGGGGCTTGATCCGAGGACCCTGGAATCATGACCTAAGCCAAAGGCAGACATTTTAACTGACTAAGCCACCCAGGCATCCCCACTAAAACAATTCTAAGAATAAAATACTTAGGAATTAACTTAACCAACGAGGTGAAAGACTTATACAATGAAAACCACAAAACACTGTTGAAATAAAAGGAGACATAAAAAAATGGAAACACATCCCATGTTCATGAATTGGAAAACTGAATACTATTAAAATGGCAATACTACCCAAACTGATCTACAGATTCAATACAATCCCTATCAAAATCCCAATGTCATTCTTTGCAGAAATAGAAAAACCTATCCTAAAATTCATATGTAATCTCAAGGGGCAGTCAAAACAATCTTGAAAAAGAATAGTCAAGGCGGAGTGAAAGATGGCAGAGGAGTAGGGGACCCTATTTCAACTGGTCCCCAGAATTGAGCTGGATATCTACCAGACCACTCTGAGCACCCACAAAACCAGCCTGAGATGTAAGAAGATCTGGATCTCTACAAACAGAATATCGCAGGCGGTTGGTTTTGAGGTACGAAGCGGGGAGCCGTGATTCTGGGGGCAGATATCGGAGGATAAACGGCAGTGGGAGGGTGCCTGGCTGTGGGGATCCTACACCGCCGGTGAGCGACAGGCTCGCATGCTGCGGACAGGGCGCAGACTTGCAGACCGGTAGCGGCGGGGAAAGGACTTTAGGGCAGCCCCGGGGGCAGAAACTCGGAGCGGTGGGGTCGCGCCTGTGAACTGAAGCCCCTGGGAGGGAAACCCGGAGCAGCGGGGTCGCGCGCGCGAACTGGGAG